AGAAGGGGGAAGAAAGAAAAGAAGAAAGGGATCTTTGTGGGAAATATATGAAAGGTAGAATCCTTAGGAATTCGAATAACACAAGAAATCTAAACAATTGACATGAAAAATGATCATAGCCATAAAACAATAGGGGATTTAATTCAATTATTAATTAAATCTGCTCTTTGTTTTTGGTGAATACTAATGGAGTGCATAGTAGGGCAGTCTTTGGTAAACATCGGGGATTTCACTGGACATTGACATGATTGGTCGCCATGGCTTCTGCTTTGAGCCATCATTTTTAGTACCCTGTTTAACTGGAGAAGCATGATGGGATCGATATTGGGATGGCATGCCTCTAAGAACGTATCTCTTTTTCTTTTTTCTTTTTTATTTTTGCAAAGATTTTCCTAACATACACTATAAACATATATACTACTAAAGGTGTAGTTAATGTTAATTTTTATAATTTAATTATTAATTAATATTAACAATATATATTATTGGACCAAGAAACTCTTTTTGAAATAAAAAAATTATGTTTTATGTTTTCAAAGTTAGGAAAATAAAAAGAATTTATATGATTCAAATTACAAATTTAAGGGAGATCAACCCATAAAATAAAGTAATTTTTATTTTGGTTAAAACCCCTTTTTGGTCCCTGAACTATTGTATGGACCCCCGATTTGGTCCCTGAACTAAAAAAATCCTTGATTTGGTCCCTACTGTTTACCATTTTTACCCCGATTTGGTCCTTCAGTTAAAAATTGTGTGACGTGGCCTGTTACTTAACGGTTACCAGATGACATGTCATATAGTAATCCATGTGGAAAGTATATAATCAAAAAGTGATGATGTGGAAAAAAAATAATATAAAAAAATAATATAAAAAATAAAACTTATTTCTTTTTTTCTTTCTTTCTTTTTTTCTTTTTTCTTTTTTTCTTTTTTCTTTCTCTTTCTCCTTCCCCTTTCTCTTCCTCCTTCCCCTTGGAACCCAGTAGGCCTGGGTTCCTTTCGAACCCACCCAGGCGCTGGGTTCACCTGGGTTCGACGAACCCAGGCGATCTGGGTTCGGCCAGGGTTCGACGGACCCAGATCGCCTGGGTTCCACGGACCTAGATCGCTTGGGTTCGGTTCCTTGCGAACCCAGCGTCTGGGTTCGCAAGGAACCCAAGTGTGCTGGGTTCTTCGATCTGCTGGGTTCTCGGTTTGCTAGGTTTTATTTTTTTTTTTTTAAATATTTATGTTTAGAAGCTTGAATTTTAGGGATATTTTTGGGTTGCAGCTGATTATTTTGCTAGTGAATA